GAACCTATCAACAACTCAAAAGAAAGAAAATTCCTTAAATCTGGAAAATAAAGCATAGTAAAAAAAATCAGTAATATTTTAGTCAAAAGTCATAAAATTTTGTGTAAACAGTTCAGTCTCATGTAATTAATCACTTTTCTTTTAATTTGCACTGTTACTGTGGCCCAATCTTTCTGTTTAAATCCTGGAAGTTAACATTCAACACTATTATTAATATGTCCAGACTTGTCCCTAGCAATAAGTTGGTCATTTTCTTGGTTGCTTTTTGTTCTCTTATTTCTGTGTGTCTTTAGTTTTCCTGGTAAAGCACTCCCGTCAGAACTTCTTGAAGAGCTGGTTTGGTGTTGGTAAATTCTTTCAGGTTTTGTTTATCTGAGAATTTTTTTATCTTTTTTTCCCATATGAAGGATAATATTGCCAGGTATTATATTCTTGGTTGAAACTGTTTTCCATTTAACACTTTGAAAATATTTTTCTCTTACTTTGCTCACATTGTTTCCAATGAGAGGTCTGATGTTTTCTGGATGGGATAACTTTTGTAAGTAACCTGACATTTCTCTCTTGCCAATTTTAGTATCTTGTCTTTGCCTGTGGATTTGGCCTACCTGGCTATGATGTGTCTTGGAGATCTTCTTGGATTGATTCTATGAGGAGTCCTTTGTATTTCTTGAATCTGGATAGCTGATTGGCTCTCTAGGTTTGGAAAGTTTTCTTCTAGGGTTTCATGGAATAGATTGTCAATGCCCTTATTAGCTTCTTCACCTTCTGGGACATTGATTATCCAGATGTTTGGGTGCTGGTAGTTTTATTTTTAATATTATGAAACACTTCCATACTACTTTTTATAACAATTGTACCATTTTATTTATTTATTTTCTTAAAACATCTTAAATTTTTCATCCTTTCTTTACAGGTTACCTAGACCACTTTTGATTAAGAAAACTGTAAAAAGCTAGTAACTGCCACAAGTGAACACCAGGTGGTGACATGTGTCAATTTTCCAGAGTCCTGCTTTGCGGAGTGTCTGATGCAGTGCTCGGGGTCTCTGCTCACACTTGCTGGACTCAATCATGGCAGATTTTAGTCCACAGGTCGCTTTTCCCCATATTTCTTTATAAACTCTTCAGCATTCTTACAGAATTTTTTATGGTCTTTAGAGTATACTTCAGCTAGATCAGCAAGGAGGGGGTGCTTGAGTTGGGGGTCGTTCACCAGTGCTGAGAGGGACTGGATTACTTGGTCGGTTTTGATGGCTGGTTTCCAGTTTTCAGAACTAATTACTGGCAGACAGACCTGCCCCTTTTCATCAATGTTTGGGTGACAGATCTTTGTTTTAAATGTGATCTTTGGTGGTTTGAATGGGTACTCTGCTGGAAAGTTGATTTCGATTCTGAAGGCCCCCTTGTCATATGGAGGGTTTTCAGGAACAATAAGTCCTTGCCAAGTCAATAAATTAGCTTAATCAATCTGGATGTTATGGAAGTATTTCATTCCACATTTGTGGATTTCTACAAGCTCCTTCATCAACTTCCTGCTGGCTGCCATCTTGGATCTCGCAACTGTACCATTTTAGATTCTCAAAAACAGTGTACAAGTTTCCAATTTCATTTCCTTGCCAAAATTAGCTTTCTTTTCTAGTAACAATCATCCTAAATAAAAGATGCCATTTCATAATAGTTAAACTTGCATTTCTCTGACCATTAGTAATGTTGAGCATATTTTCATATATCTATTTTTCATTTGTATCTCCTCTTTGAAAAAGTATCTATTCTTTGCTTATTTCTTAATCAAGTTATTTGATATTGTTTTTTAAATTAATTTATTTTACATTCATTCACTGATCATCTCAACATACAAAATGCGATTTCCATCCAGAATACATTGTATAGTGGCTTAATCATATATGTTATGGTCAACAAATAATTCACCATTTCTTGTTTATATAAATATATATATACACACATATATATATGTGAATTTGTTTATATATATATATGAAAAATATAAATTACATATATAATTATATATATTAATATTATATATTATTTAATATGTATATGTGTGTGTGTGTGTGTGTGTGTGTGTGTATGTGTCTTGGAGAAGATCTTCTTGGGTTGATTCTATTCGGGGTCTTTTGTATTTCTTAGATCTCTGAATGCCTCTCTAGGTATGGAAAGTTTTCTTTCAGGATTTCATGGAAGAGATTATCAATGCCCTTCTTAGTCTCTTCACCTTCTAGGATAATGATTATCCAGATGCTTGGATGTTTAATGGTATCTAGTATTTATTGTATATTATTCTCATTTGGGGGGGGCTATTTTCTCAGTCTTCATGATGAATATTTTAGGTCAGCAATTCTGTTTTCTTCTGAGATTCGATCTTCTGTATATTTTGTTTTTAATACTTTCAAGGGAGGTTTTGACTTCCTGTATTACAGCCTTCATCTCTAACAGTTCCATATGATTCTATTTTATGTTGTGTATTTCCTCTTTCAGATCATGTAAAAACTTCACCTCCTGGAACTCATCAGCTCTTTTCTCCTTCCTCTCCTGGAGTTCACTGGCTCTCTTCTCTTGCATCTTTGTTAGCTTTATCACTATGAATATTCTAAGTTCTTTATCAGACGTTTCTATAAGTTCCATTGTACTGTCTGTGGATGCAGAGAAGTTATTCTTTTCCTTTGGAGGGGAAGTCTTTTCTTGATTTCTCATATTGTGTCTCTGCAGTGATTTATAGTCACCTGATGGGTCATATATTTCTTCCTAATTTCTAGAAGTTCAATCTGAGCATTCAGAGGCTTGTAGGAGAAGGAGATCTGCAATCTCTTTGCTGTTCTATTTTCCTCATTTTGTGTGGGTGATTCAGTGGGAATTGAGGAATATGTTGATCCTAATAGTATTTGGATGTTTGGCTACAGTTCACTTAGACCTGTCTAGACACTCTGTGAGTGGAGGTTAAGCAGCAAAGTGATGGGGTAAATGAAAAAGGATAAGAAAATAGAGAAAGAGAAAAAATAATAAAAGATGGAGTGAGAGAAAGAAAAAGGAAAAAAAGCAACAAAAATTTATTTGTTCTAAAAGAAAGCAAAAAATAAAAACTGTGGTGGTTTTGAAGGATACAGTGTGCCCTACCACTTGAGAATGGGGGCTGGAGAGTGAATTCACAGCAGAAAATCTTCATTACTCTTAGTTCCTGAAAGCACTAGTTCTCAGATCCCACGAAGGAGTCACTCTTCTGAAGGCCTGCCCTTTGCCCCTCTACTCAAGAATGGGGGCTAGTGGGTGAAGTCTCAACAGAAAATCTTGATTATCCTTATTCTTTGAAAGCACTAGTTCTCAGCTCCCATGGAGGAGTTAGTCATCTTCTCAAGTTATTTGATATTCTGGTATTGTGATAAAGGTGTTCCTTATGCATGTTAGAAATTAATCCCTTATTAGATGTATAGTTTGCACATAGCTTTTCCCATTGTGTAGGTTGTCTCTAGCATTGTTTCATTCACTGTACAGTTTAATGAAGTCCCAATTTTATTTTTTGCCTTGTTGTCTGTTCTCTTGGTGTCATATCCAAAAAAATCATTGCCAAGAACAAATGTCATGAAGCTTTTCCAGTATGTTTTCTTTTGCAAACTTTAGTGTCAAGTCTATGTTTTAAGATTTTAATCAATTTTGTGTTGGTTTTTTTGGATCATGCAAGATAAGACCCAACTGCATTCTTGTACAAGAAAATAGTTTTCCCCATACCATTTATTTAATAGACTATCCTTTCTCCATTATACATTTTTGGAAACCTGCCAAAGATTAGCTGACTGCCTATGGCAGTTTTTTTCCTGTACTCTTTATCCTGTTCTACAGGTCTGTCTTTATGACAATACCATATTATTTTAATTACTGTAGCTTCATAATATTTTAAAATCAGGAAATATGTTAGAGGTCTCCTTTGTATAACAATGACTTCAGCTTCATTCTTTTGTAAAATTTTTTTCAACTATTCAGGGCCCTTTCTGATTCCATATGAATCTTACAATTTTCTTTCTACTTCTGGTTTTAAAAAAAATGCCACTAGGATTCTGAAAGGCATTGACAGATTGTCCATAGCTGTGGGTCGTATGAACATTTTGACAATTTTAATTCTTCTAATCCATGAACACTAGATTTCATTCGATTTATGTCTTTTCTAAATTTCTTTCAATAGTGTTTTCAATATACAGGTCTGTCATCTCCTTAGTAAGGTTATTACTAAATACTTTATTCTTTTGAGACTATTGTAAACAGAATTACTTTTTTCCTTTTCAAATAGTTTTTTTTTAATGAGTGTACACAAGTGAAATTTTTTTTTGAGAGGTTTTTTGCGATAGGGCGCATGCGCTCGCCAGACAGACAGAGAGAGTCAGAGAGACAGAAAGCGAGAAATCACACCCCAGGGGGGCTGGTCACGCCGCAATCCCTTCTCCTCCATTCTCCTCGCGGGATCTTGGGCACGCACGCACACGCGCCCGGCGTGAGTTTTAAGTCACCGGGTCCGGGACGCGAACTGCGGTCGACTACGTGGGAGTCCAGCAACATAGCCATTACGCTAACTGCTGGTTCCCCACAAGTGAAATATTTTTATATGCTGATTTTGTATCCTACAACTTTATTGAATTTACTTATTAGTGCTAACAGCTTTTGGTGAAATTTTATGGTTTTCTTTGTATAAGATCATGTGGTCTCCACATAGAAGAGAATTTACTTCTTCCTTTCTGATCTGGGTGCCTTTAATGTCTTTTCTTGCCTAATTGCTCTGGCTAGGAATGCCACTATTACGCTGAAAAGAAGTGGTAAGAGCAGGCATCCTTATCTTGTTTCTAGCTTTCAGGTTTTCAACACTGAGTAAATATTATGTATAGCTTTTCATATGTGATCTTCATTATGTTGAAACAGACCTTAGTTTTAAATATGTTGAAACCAGAACAACTGCTATTACCAAAATTCTTAGTCACTACAGTACCAAAAAGAGTAAGACAATGACTGTGCGAACTGAAAATCTCATGCCCTGTACTGAATAAAGGGGACTTCCACCAGGATTCTCTAACACCTTTCTCATTTGTTTTGTAAGATCAAGAATATAAGAAATAAAGAGAAGTAGAGATTCTGTATCCCACAGGCTTTGTGGTCCTTTATCCCTCAATGAATTTTCCCACCTCACTGAACTAGGCCCAAACTTCCAAGGGGTGTGTGTGTGTGTGTGTACACAGTCTCGAGTGCATATAGATAAGTTTTTATACTAATCCTCACATAACAGTAAAACATGAATATTTTAAACATATTCATAAAATTGAATGCTCAACTCTAAGATTTCTTAAAATTGCTATACTAATAAACTAATAAACATAAAAATTGTTAACATTATTTAAACCAATATGCTATAGGAAATAGTTCTAGTGCTTCTATTTTCAATTATTTCTATAATATACTATTATTATTTTCCAATTAAAAAATAAATGTTATTGGGACCAGCAGTTAGCATAATGGCTATGTCACTGGACTCCCACGTAGTCGACCATAGTTCGCGTCCCGGACCCAGTGGCTTATAACTCATGCTGGGCGCATGTGTGTGCATGCCCAAGATCCCAAGAGGAGAATGAAGAAGGGAATGCGGTGTGGCCATTCCCCCTGGGGGGTGATTTCTCGCTTTCTGTCTCTCTGTCTCTCTCTGTCTGGTGAGCATATGTGCCCTATAGCAAAAACCTCTCCCCCCCCCCAAAAAAAAATGTTATTACTTTGGTAAAACACACTTTGGGAGCAATTAAAACTTCCCTGATCATATTCTCCCTTTTCCAGTCTAATTATAGATGGAGTTTTTTTTTTAAAAAAAAAAAAAAACAAGTTTTAAATCACTAGAGAGAAATTATTTTGAAATTCCCAAGAGATTATGACTCAATCTAAATTATATTTTTAAATACACTTTTGAAATTTAGTGGAATTTTTGGTAGTTCCAAATAGTTAAAATTAAATGCCTCTGGTATTTGACCTTGGCAACTGGCAAGAGTCACTGGAATTTTATCTTATCACCTTTTTATAAATTATCTGTAGGCCTGTATGATTTTAAATATGACAGAAGACTGAAAGGGAAATGAAAGTAATAGAGAATTGGATAACCTATACTCTGAGTATAGATTAGATAGTAGAAAGAATTTGTAAAAATCAGTTGTGCAAGTTGACACAGGGAATGTGGAAGGGCAGGGGTGATTAGACTTAGAATTCACAGCGAGACAGGGGTTCTTGCTCATAGCTCACAAAGAAATAGAATTGTGGACATAGGTAAGCAAGCACAGTTTATTAAGAGAGAGAAGAAAGAGCAAAGCTCCCAAGCAGAGAGCGGATCCTGAGTAGGCTGCCATCAAGGAACTGGAGCATGGAGTTTTAATCTGGGTCAGAGGGGTTTTGATCATGCTTGTTCTCAGGTGGTGCATGTGGTTTCCTCATGACTGAGGAGGGGGAGTCACATGCTGGATGGGTCCAATTATTCTTCCTAATATTGAAATTGGTATGAAGGTCAAGAGTCTC